AGTCCACTCGGTTGTTTTCATGTTGAGTGGCATCATCCAGATAGAGTTGCTAGGCAATTCGGGATAAAACAATCGATTCCAGATGTTCCTAGTTGGGACCCGAAGATACATGACATAGACCTTCGACACCGGGGATGGCAGGACCATACAATACCTTATATGGCTAGGTGGCGCATGCGTAGAGATTATATTGTCATTAGTCCTCTGGTGGACGATGATGGTGATTGCGATCCCGGATACATGAGTTGGTATTTATCAATTACTAGACTTTATATCACTCAAGAAGGAGCAGCGTTTGGTGCTACGGTATGTTTTCCAATTTGGCTTTACAAACTATTTGAATTTAAATATATATTTATTTTAATTCATTTTCTATGCAGGCTGCATGTTTTGAACAAATTAGTATCCTCTCATCGCCCGAAGATATTAATAGCTTGTGTACCAGTAGTGGGAGATCTTCAAAGGCTTCATCAGTTGTATCGAGTACCTACACCTACTCACGGCCCCAAGCGTAAGGACGTCGTCAAATAGAGCAGGATGCTCCAAACGAACCTGACATTCCTGAACCTGAAGTTATGTATCATAATTTTGATGATGCTCCACCTTTCACACAGACACAAGATGATGCCGGTCCATCCACCCCTATGGTTATTATACCGACTCCTGGTTCGAGCCAAATTCACACACCAGTACAGTATGGTTATGACGGTCATGGACGTGGGCGTGGAGAGTATAGACAATACATCAACCCTAATGAGGATGAACAGACACTAGAGGCACCGAGAGCTTGTCGTCGACAGCCGCATCATCATCGACGACCTCCCTCATGTGGGACACATTAGATTGATTGATAGACTATAATGCTTGATTATGGTTATTCAGCTGTAATTATACATATTAATTAATATTTTTTTTTCATATCTCAAATGATAGTATTGTTAAATTAATTATAATTCTCTAATTTGATAAATTAAAAATATTATTTTCTAATTACAGTATGGTATTAACAAACTTTTAAATATAAATAAATATAGCAATTAATAAAGCAAAAAAAAAACATGTTGGTTATTAAAAAAATAAAACCTCAAGAGACGACATGTTAGGTTATTAAAAAAAAAAAAGCAAAAACGACATGGTCGATTAATTTAAAAAAAAAAATTAACGTGGCACCGAATAAGCGCCACGTTAGTTGGTCGTCTCTTGAAGAGACGACCAACTTATAATAGTTCAGACAACCTATGAATTTCAAAGCATTATTCCCGTAATTAGTTTGAGATGGGGCATATTTTGGTAAATATTTTTAAAATTAACATTATTAAAAAAAACTCTCATTTTTGTTTGGGCTTTAATCTTTCCGACGTGGTTTTATGCCCATTAATTTTTCCGACGTCTTATTTCACTTTCCCGACGAGAATTATATCATATATAACTTCTAATTTAATCTATAGTATGAGAAACATATATACTCATTCAATAGGTGAATTGTTTCGCTACTTAATTTCAAACTAGTGTACATTTAAAATACCAATCACATATAATTTATGTAAATAAAGTATAATAAACATATACCTATTAATAGGTTATATAAATATACCTCGTATTGTTATATACTAAACTATTAGGTTATGTAATATATACATTTTTAATATAATCATTTATATCTTATACACACTTTCAAATCTAATATACAATATGATAAATATTGTGGTACAAGAAAAAACCGACAAAATCGACTAACCCAAAATCGTCTAAAACAGACTGTCGGTTTGGTCTTTTAGTGGTCTGGTTTAGACTTTGTTTCAGCAAACACAGTAAATCGAATATATCCGGTCGGAATCGGTGTTGACTCACCAAAATCGATTAAAAACCGACCCGACCAATCATAAGGAGGGAGAGTTACTCCAGTAGACAATTTCTTACATACTAATTACATAAATAACTAAAATCTATAAAATGTGTCAATAAGCGGGTCCATTTTTTTATAAGCCCATACTAAAATTACTATATTACCCATGCAGATCTATTATTTGTAAACAATAAAAAAAATCATAGAAGGCACAAATCTCGATTTAATACGTGGCACAAATTGTGGGGTTTCATATCAAGAAACCTTCTATATTTTTTTATTAATTTTTTTTTTGCTGCAAAGGTAAAAACCTTCCGTATTCTTCTAACAAAAATTATTCGAATTCTTCCAAAAGATACCCAACCATATTTTTTTGAAAATCTCCATAACACAACATCGTTCCATCGCATTGTTTCAACCGCCAAATAGAAAAACCTAATTCAATTGGTTTTTGACCCCACCAATAGTTCAAATTGGATAAATGAACCCCTTTTAAAAAAACATAATTTTTGACCCCACCTCTACTTAATTTTGAACCCACATTTAGTGAAAAGACAAATATACCCTTATTTATGATACATTAACTTCCCCATTAACTTCCACCCAACCATTTCACCAAACTTTTAGCCTCATATTTTACTTATGTTTTGAGTTTGAAACAATCCAAAATTTTCACACCATCTAAACTCCTCACATATCACGTTTTTTAAAATCCGAGAAAGAAACATTGTCACGTGTTTGATCATTGTCCCCACACTATCTAAAATCGTTGTCCCCACATTTTCACATTTGAAGAGTTAGAGGTACGTTAACATAAAAATTTCTGAAATGATTT